CCTCCTCTGCCTCCTCCTCCTCCGCCTTCTTCGCCTACTCCTCCTCCGCCTCCTCCTGCTCCTTCGGTGCACACCAGCCGGGCATGCTCTGTAGAGCCTGCCTTGGATGGAGGGCCGAAGGGCACCGTCGCAGGCGCAAGCGTCTCGTTTCACCCTGCTCGCGCGCCGTCTGGCGCAAGGCTTCTGACCTGACCTCGGAGGTCCTCCAGGAGCCCTCTCTGGGTGTCTTGGGGACCATGTGCCGTCTGGAGGGCATCTCGGGCCATCTTGGAGTCATATCTTCGGCCGTCCTGGAGGCTGGTCGGACCCTCTCGGACCCTCTTGGGGCTGTCTTTGCGGCCTTCTTGGACCACACTGGACCACCTCGAAGGGCATCTTGGCTATCCTGGAGGCCCTCGTGAGGCCATCTTGGGCGGGATGACCGTTCGGAGATGTCTCGCCCGCGTCTTTCGGTGTGGCTGGCGGGTCAAGCCGAAGGCCATTGGGAGCCTTTCGGAAGGGCGTCAGCCAGTAAGATCTAGAACGCCAAGCACCTCTGTGATAAACACAGCGGGCGGCGGCTGACGGAAAGTACGCGTAGCGTGCGATCCGTTAGTCGGGAGAAATCAGCTAGGGGAAGGTTGAGGGCATTGGCAGGCCTTGCCCCAGGGATCTAGTAACCAACATGAGGATTTCGCTCGGGACGTACTCAACCAACAGAGATGTCTTGGGATCACTCTCGGAAGGCCTCGAGACGGCTCAACATAGCCCAACAATCTTGCTCTAAGACGCCCCACTTCCCCCAACAAATGACGATGCTGCTAATGGCACCCTCACAACAGTGAGATGCTGGCCACATCGCTCTTGCCCCAAGTGGCGATCTCGCTGGGGAAATCTGGACAACAACGAGATGCCGTGCACGTCGTCTTGGTCTCGGCCTTGGCCAGCGTGGCGCGATCTCGCCAGGGACCTCCTCACACAGCCGAGATGCTGCCGACATCGCTCGTGCACACAACGGCGCTCTTGCCAGGGGCATACCCGCAGCCAGGATCCGTAGCCACTCTGGCCCAAGCCGCTGGCGCGAGGCCCCGGGGCCTCTCGCCTGGCCGGCGGGCACCCGCGCGCGGCGGCGGCCGCGCAGCGGGCCGCGGAGTCGCCCCTCGGCCGAGCCGCGCCGGCGTTGGGGCGGAAGGCGGCTGGCCGACCGCGCGACCTGCAGGCCGTCGCCTTCCGGGCCCGAGGGCCTCGGCCACGCCGCGCGCGCGGCCCGCGAGGCCAAGGGGGCTGCGGAGGTGGCCCAGGATGTCGCTGTGCCCCTGGGGGCGGCGTCGGGCCTCGACGTTTGGTGGCCTCCGAGGCCCAGGGGACCGCGGAGGTGGCCCAGGAGCTCATCGCTGGGAGTCCCTGGATGTCTGGTGGGCGGCGGACCTCGACGGCGAGGAGTGGCTCGCCAAGGGCCTGCGAGCCGGGTCCAGGCCTCCGCCGCGTGGACACTGCCCAGGGGTCGACGACGACGGCTGCATCAGGCCCCCGCCGAGGCCGAACCTGGCCCGCATCGCCCGCAAAGGCGCCCTGGAGCACTGCGGCAGTTCCTGTGCCGTGTGCCGTCTGCCGGTGGAGGAGTTTCGGTGCCGTGTGCGGGCGGCGCTCTTCGCCAGCCTCGGGGGCGAAGAGCAGCTCCGCCGCCCGTGGGTGCACGGGCTGCGCCACCCACCGATCCCAAGTCGGGCGTCTCCCTCTGCAGGAGGAGTGTCGGCCAGAGTGGGCCCCAGGCAGTAGGCTCTGGCAGGCTCTGCGGTGCAGGCTGTGCGGTGCAGTCTGTGCGGTGCAGTCTATGCCGTGCAGTCCATGCCTTGCAATCCATGCGGTGCCATCTTCACCGAGCGCGTTCCACTGCTCGCGCAAAGTGCCCACTCCGCAAACGCCCGACCCAAACACTCGTGCCTGCCTCGGCGTGATCTACCGTGGATCCCCCGCGGCGGATCCAGGCCACTTGCGAGCCGCTGCTCTGCGAGTGGCGGAGCGCGCTCGTCGAAGTCTGTGCGGTGCAGTCCATGCGGTGCCGTGTGCCTGCGGGCGGCGCGGGGCGGCACGGGGGCGCCGCCAGGATGGCCCGCGGCGGCACGGGGGCGAGGAGCCGGCGGGCATGGCCAGAGGGCTGGACCGAGCAGGAGCTCCCCCGGCAGTCGCTGCCTGGGGGACAGTCGAAGCCGAGGCGGGAATGTATCCATATCCACCGCCTGGAGGGTCAGTTTTCGGAGCCTCGGCGGGCGGTGGATAGGGACATATTCGGGCCCCCTGGGGGCCGAAATGTATCCATATCCGCCGCCCGCTGGGGCACCAGGACGTCGGTTCCCAGGCGGTGGATGTGGATAAAGCCCCGCCTCGCATCAAAAATGTCCACACTTAGTCCGGGGACGATGCTTCGATTGCCTTTGGCTATTGTTGTGGGCGTGTTTTGGGTATTTTTTCATTTTCGCCCCAGTTCCGCCTTTCGGAGGACATGCCCGACCCAACACTAGTCTTAAGTCGGGGCTGTCCCTCTACAGGAGGAATACTCGAAAATTGTAAAATAATAGTATGGGGACGATTTTCTCTATCATTTGTTGTTTTTTTGTTTCACATTTTTTATGTTTCGTCCCAACTCTGCCTCTAGGGGGGACATGCCCGCATGCGCGCGTGTTGTTGTTGTTGTTGTTGTTGTTGTTGCTGCTGCTGCTGCTGCTGCTGCTGCTGCTGCTGCTGCTGTTGTTGTTGTTGTTGTTGTTGTTGTTGTTGTTGTTGTTGTTGTTGTTGTTGTTGTTGTTGTTGTTGTTGTTGTGTGTGTATTTCGTCCGAACTGCGTGTGTGTGTGCGTGTGTGTGTGTGTGTGTGTGTATGTGTGAATTTTCGCGTGTGTGTGTGTGCGTGTGTGTGTGTATTTTCGTGCGTGTGCATGTATATATATATATATATATGTTTTGTTCGTCCAAGCTGTGTGTGTGTCCGTGTGTGTGTGCGTGTGTGTGTGTGTGATGGTGTTGTGTGTGCGTGTGTGGGGGTTATTTGTTTTGTGGGGGGTGTTTTTTGGTGCATGTGGTGTTATTTTCGCGCTTTTTTTAACATATTCTTTTGTGTGTGTGTGTGTGTGTGTGTGTGCGTGTGTGTGTGTGTGTGTGTATTTTTCGCGTGTGTGTGTGTGTGTGTGTGTGTGTGTGCTTCTCCCCCAAGATCCGCCTGCAGGAGGACAGGCCCGACCCCCACACTCCTCCCCTGCCGCGGGCTCGCGCCCGGCCCGTGCGCGGGCGGGCGGCTGCGGGCGACCGCGCGGGGCCTGCTGGGCGCGGCCGCGGCCCGCGGCCGGCGCTCCGGGGCCCGGCGGGCGGCCGTGGGCGAGGGCGCCCTGGAGCTCCGGGGAGGAAAATCGGGGGCGAAAAAGATACGGATACGTGTTGTCCCCCTTCGTTTTCGGCCTTTCCTGGTCCTCCTGAGGAATCCTCGTTGTCACCGCTGGATTCGCCTCGAAATTCTGGTCAGAACGCACCCCAAGAGAGGTCCGGGGACAACACGTATCCGTATCTTTCCGCCCCCCAAGAGAAGAGGGGGGTGGTGACTAGGGGGGGGGGATCTCATGGCGTGGGCCATGATATTTCCCCAGATTTCATGGCGCCTCTTCTTGTTTTATTGCGTCCCTGGCCCCCCCGCTGGGCCGCGCACATGCCGCCGGTCATGATTTTTGCACCCCCCCTCTTGGCCGCTCCCGAAGCTCCGGGGAGGAAAAGGTACAGTTCCGTCGGGCCTGCCCCTCTGCAGGAGGAAGCTGCAGGAGCAGTCCAGAGATCGTCTGGGGGCGACTTTTTTTTTGAGGGGGCTATCTTTTTGAGCATGTTTGGGGCATTCTTCTGGGGTCTTTTTGAAACTGTTCGTCCAGCATCCGCCTGTAGGGGGACGTGCCCGACCTGAAGGTACAGTGGAGACCCATGCCAGGAAACATCCTGCTTGCTCCGAGGAGGAAAAGGTACAATTAAGTCGGGCCTGTCCATCTACAGGGGGGAATCCAGAGGGGGCGCGCATCAAGAAACCACATGCTTTTCGTCAGGGTATCCTGGGTTTCTTCGCTATTCGCGCTGCGCGGTGACTTCCCGCAGCCGTTGAAGGAGCTGCTGCGTTCAGGGTGCTTCAGTTCTCCCCTCATGTGCACCTCGCGCACGGGTTCTCAGGGTTGGGTTTCTTGCGAGGGTTTCTTGCGGCCGCGCCCGCACTGTATCCTAAAACAGTCAAAACATCTTCTGGGGATGTTTTTTGTTGTTGTCTTTGAGTACCTTTTGGGCATTTCTGGGGTATTTTTAATTCTTCGTCTCCAAAACCCGCCTGTAGGGGGACATGCCCGACCTAAAGGTACAGTGGAGACCCATGCCAGGAAACATCCTGCTTGCCTCCAGGGTGCCCTGGGCTTCTTGGGTTTCGATTGTTTTGCGATGGAAAGCGTGACGCTCCCGTCCCAAACAACCAATGGACGTCCTGGGGCCTCAGGGTCGGGTTTCTTGTGGGAGGTTTCCCGTGGTCGGGCCCCTGCTGTAGCCATACCTCTGCCCTTCCCCGTTTTCCCCTTTTGGGGCCTCCTCGGAGGCCCTTGTCGCCACCGCTGGCTTCGCCTCGCAATTCTGGTCAGGACGCACCCCAGGAGAAGCCCAGGGAGTAGCGGTGTCTGTGCCTCCTGGTCTCCCCAGGAGCCGCCGTCCACGTCTTCTTTTTGGGGCGCTCCGTTCGCAGAGCCCATCGACCAGCTAAGCGCTCTCAATCTCCAGGCCTCCCAGATGGGGTCCTGGTAGATGGGGTCGGAGGATCGCGCCGCATCGCCGATGCATCGACGATGCGGCTCGATGTTGAACCCGTGTTTCTCCATGCCGACGTCGCCGAGGCATGGCCGACGGCGCGATCTTTCGACCCCATCTACTCGGACCCCATCTAGGAGGTCTCTGCTCAGCGAGTCAACGGTCAGCGAGTCCGCGTCTTCGGACCATCTGTGCAAGAGGGCAGCGATGCGGGGACAAGGGGGTGGCCGTCGCGGCGACGAGGAAGAGAGTGAGTCGGCCATGGAGGAGGTGACAGATGCCACGGCGGCCGTCCGCCAGGTTCTCAAGAACGCCCTCGCGGTAGGGGGCGTCGTCCGTGGCTTCAGAGAGGTTTGCAGGCACGTCAGATGCAAGCGGGCACAGGTCGTATTCCTTGCGGAGTCCTGCGACGAGCAGGACAAGGTAGGCATCGTACTGGGACTGTGCCAGAAGGACGGGGTTCCCTTGGTCAGAGTGCCGAAGACAGAGCAGACCGAACAGCATTTTGGCAAGTGGGCGGGTGCGGACCCGCGGAAGGTGCGTCCGCCCGTAATAGGGGATGCCGTCACAAGGACGGGGCGGATTGTTACCAGACGAGTGCGAGGAGGCGCCAGCTTTCTGTGCGTCACCAGTTACGGTGAGCAAGGGGATGGCCACCACCCCCCCCCCCCCCCCCCCCCCCCCCCCCCCCCCCCCCCCCCCCCTCCCCCCCCCCCCCCCCCCCCCCCCCCCCCCCCCCCCCCCCCCCCCCCACCCCCCCCCCCCCCCCCCCCCCCCAGGGGAGATGGCTACGAGTACATGATGAAGCACATGGCCGAGTGACGCTCCAACTCCAACTGCTGGCCCGCAGCGCCTCCGATCCCCCGCCCCCCCAGTGACTGTTTGCAGTGCTGGCCAGTCTTTTTTTTCGTCAAGGCGCCGATGCCGATTGGGCGTCAATCCACAATACCTTGCACGTCTGCGCGTTTACACTCCCCCCGCACAGGTCAGCACATCCCTGGCGAGTCTTTGCCGCATACTCACAGTCATCAGATGTGGTCGACGTCGTCTTGTACTCGGTCTTGCCCGACATTGCGATTTAGCCAGGGACATCCTCAGACTACGAGATGTCATCGACATCGTCTTGGTGCCGCTCTTACGCACAAAGGCGTCCTCGCTAGGGACATCCTTACGCACACGTGAGATGTTGCCGACGTCGCCTTGGAATCGGCCCGATCCGGCCCGCGGGGCTGGCAGGGCAGGTCGACACGGCCAGGCAGGTTGACATTGCCGGGTTCCAACGGCCAGGCGGGTTACTCTGGCGCAATTGTGAGGTGACAGACCGTGCGGTGACCTCGAAATCCCTCAAGACCTCACCGCACGGTCCGTCACCGCACGGTCTGGGGACCCCGGAGGCCCCCATCGCCCGAGAAGTCCTCGGAGAACGACCCGAATCCCAAAACCTTGCGGTGACCCCGAACCCCCACCGACTCACCGCACGGTGTGCTCACCGCCCCGTTCAGGGGCCTCCGAAGAAAGGCCAGGCCCGCTCCAACGGCCAGACGGGTCAGAGGGATCTTTTGGGTCGCCTTGGTGCCCTCATGGGTCCCTCGTGGGGCTCTCTTGGGGCTCTCTTGGGGTCCTCTTCGGAGCTATGGAGCGCCTCCTGGAGCCATCTAGGAGACCATCGATCAAAGGAGGGGGGGTCCCCGATTTCCCTCCGCCCTCTGGGGCATTCGAAATAGCCTCTTTGTGGCGCTCTTGTGGCCCTCTTGGGGCGATCTTAGGCGCTCTTGGGGTAGTCTTGGGGGCCTCTTGGGCTCTTCTTGGAGCTCTCTTGGGGCATCTTGGGGCCGTCTTGAGGCCTCAACGCGCATCGGAAGCGACAAGGCGAGAAGGCACACGTCAGTAATTTTTGAAGGATTTTGGGTTCTCGGGGAGGTCCCGAGGGGTCGCCAAAAGCATCTGGAACCGTCTCGTGGCCCTCTCGGGGCCTCTTGGAGGCATGTTGTTAGCTATCTTGAGCCATGCTTAACTATCTTGAACGATCTTGGAGGCTATCTTGGTCTCTCTGAGGCCCTCCTGGGACCATCTTGGGCGAAAAAGGACCCGCTGACACCTCGCGGCCCCTCCGCCCTAAATCCCTCCCCGACGGGGAAGATGGGGTTGTGGAAGAGGAAAGAACGACATCGATAGACCACTTGTCGCCCAGAGGGCTGGTGGGACACCAGACAAGCCAGCGATCTCGCGCCATGACAAAGTAAGCTGCGCTTTTCGTCCCCGTGTCTTACGTCACACAGTCAACGGGGCTCCGCGCACACTGTTGCGACCAGCTCCGCCATTACAGCACAGGGCGGGCCACATTCAAAAGTGACGCGCGCCAGAGGTCACCGCGCTTTCACAGCATATCTTGAGATATCTCGGGGTGCCCTCACGGCAAAAGTGAGCGTTTCTTTTTTGTTGTTTTGCCGATCGGCGCGGGCCCTTGCACCCCCCCCCTCCCCCCCCATGGAGTAGATCTTGGCTGTTTTGGGCGCCTGTTTCGAGCGGGTGGAGTCTCCCCCATAGTCCGCACGGTCCCAAACAGACTGCTGTTCTTCGTGTTTGTTGGATGGGCTGCTGCGCCAGCGAATCGCCGGGCGTGTCTGCCAAAACTCTGTGGGATGCTGGCGATTTTCCAGTGATGCTCTCCGTTGACGGGTTTTCATACAGCCGGACCGATGTACAAGGTCGAGGTTGGTTCGGGGAGGCTGCCCTGATGTTCTTCGTATTTGTGGGATGCTCTTGTGCATCCTGGGGGAGGGTACCCTTGGATGTTCCTGTGTGTTTTGGCCAGCGGGGGGTCTCATGCTCTTGGGGGATGTTCTCCTGTCTTCTGTCATAGGTCCGACCAAGCCACCAGCGCAGAGCAGAGAACACCATAAGGTGAGACACGACAACGCTGCAAGCCTGAGGCCCGACGCACGGACAGACTTCGGTGCAGCAGCCTGCGAGCCCGAAGGGCAGGACTCCCACGTGAAGCCAGCAAGCGTTCGTGGGCGAAGCACATGTCTGTAGCCGCGGCCTCGTGGGCCAGGCCCCTGGGCCGTGATCCCGCGGACATGGGGCGTACTCTTCCGGCGGCTCCCCGCGGAGCGTATCCGTGCGACCGCGTATCCGCGGGATCGCGCCCCCGAATCCATCCCGGATTCCTGGAGCCGAGACCCGTTTAGGCCACCAGGAGCAGGAGGAGGAGGAGGAGGAGGAGGAGGAGGAGGGAGGAGGAGGAGGAGGAGGAAGTGAAGTGAAGTGAATTGAAGTGAAGTGGTGTGGAGTGGAGTGGA